TCCCATGTGAATGCCAGTTCTCACTGTCTGGTGACATTGTAAATAAGAAGTGGGAAGCATTATCTCCTATAAATGTAAACAAACTTGTTTGTCTTAGCAGTTGGCCGAACAAGAAGTAGGGCTGAGTGGACTTGTAGGCTCTAAAGTTTTGCATTGTTTGAGTGCAGTTATGTAACAAAAAAAATCTACATTTGTACTTTATAATTTCACGATAAAAAGATTGCACTACAGTACTGGTATGAGGTGAATTGAAAAATACTGATTCTTTTGTTTAACATTTTTACAGTGCAAATGTTTTTAATCAAAAATAATAATATAAAGTGAGCAGTGTACACTTTGTATTCTGTGTTGTAATTGAAATCAATATATTTGAAAATGTAGAAAAACATCCAAAAGTATTTAATAAATTTCAGTTGGTATTCTATTGTTTAACAATGTGATTAATCATGATTTTCTTTTTTTAGTTAATCGCGTGAGTTAACTGCGATTAATCGACAACCCTAATAATAATTATTATGAATAACAATAATAAATCTAATATAATTTCAGGGCTGCACGTGAAGAGGCATCAAATGATGGAGCAGTGAGGCAATAGTCCTCTGTATGACTCTGATATAACTACCTGGAATACTGAATTCAGTACTGGGAACCTTACTGCCAGAAAGATACTGAAAAACTGGATGGAATTCAGAGAAGATCAACTCAGATATGAGGAGGCTGAAGCCAAGGAACTGATTTATGAAGAAAGATTAGGATGGAGAAATATGCAGTCAAGCTAAGAGAGGACAAAAGGTCTGGACTTAATTATCTACAGCTATTTTAAAAGTGCAAAGAAGGCTAGAGTAAGTTATTTAGGGTGGTACATGGGGTATAACTAAGACTAATGGGATGAGCAGAGCTGACCTTGGGAGCCAACAAAACCAGTGGCCAAGGTCTCCTCTGATTTTCTCTGTAAATGTCACACCTAGTCTCAGTTTATGGGACAACAGGTGTATGGACGATTGCAGAATACCCATATCAGAAGAGGTAGAGGATGCTCTTTGGGTGACCTAAGGATGTGGTAAACAGGGGAAGAGGGTTCATGGCATTTATCAAGACCACCCCATTCTTCCTAAAGTATTCCCAAAAGGAGTCATGAGTGGGTACAAATATTTCTCATCAATTCCTCCTGGCATTAGGCTCTTAGGGGGAGGGATTAACATTTTCAATTTAAGATTGGCACCTATATAATCATTGAGATCAGCAAGACCACTAGGGTTAAGAGAAACCTTCTTTGTCTGACTTCATCAAGGGAGCAACAATACTTCCCATTCTTCCTGAAAAGCAGAGTTAGAACAAGGAAACATAAACTAAGGACCCCAGAATTAAGAGATGTAAAGTATAACAAGGATCCCAGAAATTACAAGCAGTGATCAAAGAATAGATTCAGCTCCTACTTGACCATCTTATTTAAGTATTTCTTGAGGTGTTCAGGAAAAGATGTCTAGACGGAGAGAAATTAATATATAGATTGTCAGATTTTGGCCACGTTACATTTTTTACTTCTCATCTCTAGAATGAGGATCAGTTAAAATATTTGGTGTTCAAATATTTGGATTATGCCTTAGTAAGAGCTGGAGCTGCAGCAACAGATTCATCATGGTTTGACTGCTCATTGCTACTGAAAATACTGCCTGAAAATGGCAGGAGACTGGAGAAATGTGACATCCTGTCTCTATCGAGAAGAAAGAGGGAAGAGCCAGTTCTCATCCAGGTCAAGCTTTTCCACAGTGCAACACAGGAACGTGGGGGAAGTGAGCATGAGGTCTTCATCTACATTACAGGGATTAAGGTTTGTTTCATTCTCACTGGGCCAGGTTCCTCAAAGGAAGTTCTCCAAAGCTTTGCCTGCATCTGAAACAAGTGCATGGACTTCACTGGGGCAAAGATATTTTCTTTTTCCATGGAGGTGATATTAAATGCTTATGGATCATTTGTCACAATTGGAGTAAAAAAAAGTGCATGGGGAGAAGATGCTCAAAAATAAGGAAGTGTAAACTGTATCATTATCCTATCAATCAATGTAAATTCCATAACGGACATTCATTTCTAGACAAATCATGCAGAGGCACTGCTCCCCTCTCCACCCCCCACTTAGTAGCATACACCTCACCAAACCACACACATCCCAAAACATAAGTACGGCCATACTGAGTCAGACCAATGGTCCATCTAGCCCAGTATCCTGTCTTCCAACAGTGGCCAATGCCAGGTGCTTCAGAGGGAATGAACAGAACAGGAAATCATCAAGTGATCCAATCCACTCCCAACGTTTGGCAACAAAGGCTAGGGACACTCAGAGCATGGTATTACATCCCTGCCTATACTGGCTAATAGCCATTGCTGGACATATCCTTAGGAACTTACCTGGTGTTTTTTTCATTATAGACATAGTATCAATCGGACATTAAAATGATGTCCATGTAATAAAGAAGTAATAGCTAAGTTATGTCAACAGTCCATTCTACAGGTACCCAGAATCCCCCAAGAAGAAATGACCCCACAGAGGCACTTATTTCTTGTTAAATATTTACTACCATAGCCTAGGGAGGAAAGGTCACAATGTCAAGTAGCAAGAACTCCTTCCACTGAACTTCTACTCTTGACTTTTCTGATAAATTTGTGTTGTGATAAATGAAAGGGGGGCAGGGGTAACTCCCTTTTACGGACACCCAGCCAGCCAGTTAGCTATAAAATCCTTCTTAGTAGTTGTTCTCTACTTGCTTTATCTGTAAAGGGTTAAAAAGTCTTCCTGCATAGGTAAAAGAAAGGGAATGGGCACCTGACCAAAAGAGCCAATGGGAAGGCTAGAACTTTTTAAAATTGGGAAAAAACTTCCCCTATTTTCTGTCTGTTGTTGTTCTCCGGAGAGAGGGAGAAGAGCAGCAATGCTGTAAGAAGCTTTGGGCCAGGTATGAAAAATCATCAGATCATACCTAGAATCTACTCATTTGAAACCCCAAATATGTAAGTAGATCAGGAAATGTCTAGGAAGACACGATTAGGTTTATTTCTTTTTATTTCTTTATGGCTTGTGGACTCCTCTGTGCTAAACCTAAATGCTTTTGTTTTGCTTGTAACCTTTAAGCTGGACTGCAAGAAGGTCATTCTTGATGCTGAATTTTTGTAAGTGAGTTTTTTAAATCTAGCAATAGCCTGAGTTTTCAAATGTATTTCTTTCTTTTTGTTTTTAATAAAATTTACCTTTTTTAAGAACAGGATTGGATTTTGTGTCCTAAAAGGTTTGTACACATGTTGTTTAATTAGCTGGTGGCAACAGCTGATTTCCTTTGTTTTCTTTCTCAGTTCTTCCCTTGGGGGAGGGGGTGAAAGGGCTTGAGGGTATCTCACAGGAAGGAATTCCCAAGTGCGCCTTCCTGGGTTCTCAAAGGGGTTTTTGCACTTGGGTGGTGGCAGCATCTACCCATCCAACGTCAGAGAAAAACAACCTTGGGAGTTTAATATAAGCCTGGAGTGACCAGTATTAATTTTTTAGAATCCTTGTGGGCCCCCACCTTCTGCACTCAAAGTGCCAGAGTGGGGAATCAGCCTTGACATGTGTCATGCAGCATTCTTTACACTCCTGCATTAAGTATGTAATAAAAGAACTGAAACTATACTGATTTTCCACTACATGCATCCGAAGAAGTGGGTATTCACCCACGAAAGCTCATGCTCCAATACGTCTGTTAGTCTATACGGTGCCCCAGAACTCTGCTGCTTTTACAGATCCAGACTAACACGGCTACCCCTTTGATACTTGAAACTATACTGTTCATTACAGTGAAGTCTTGTTACAACTCTCCCAGCACAAAATACTTACAAATAATTCCAGAAGCAGTTAATGCTAACCCACTCCAGCCCAGCTATTTGCTTTCTCTTCTAGCTATCTCAACCTCCCCATCCCTGTATAACCCACCCATGCCACCCCATTTGAACCCATCCCATCCTATCCCCATGTAACCCATTCTAACAAAAACCATCCCATTCCATTCCAAACTCTTGTATAGTAACCCACCTATCTCCATATAACGCATTCCAACCTATCCCATTCTAACCCCTTGTACCCTAACCCATATCCATATAATCCATTCCAACCTATCCCATACTAACCCCTTGTACCCTAACCCACCTATGTCCATATAACACATTCCAACCCAACCCACCTCATTCCAACCCATTGTTTCCCATTCTAACACACACCATCCCATTCCATTCCAACCCCTTGTATTCCAACCCAGTCTATACCCATGTAACCCATTCCAATCCATATAACTCATCCAACCCAACCCACCCAATTCCAGCCCTCTCTATCCTAACCCAGCTGTGTGTAACCCATTCTAACACAACCCATCCCATTCTTCCAGCCCTCTCTAACCCAACCCACCCCCATCCTCCAGTAACCCATCCCATCGCATCGCAGGCCATCAGTCCTAAGCAGCCCACCCCATAGCCCATTCTAACCCAGCATAGCCCATTGCAGTCTCACTCCTGCCACTCCAACCCTTCTAACTCATCCCACCCCAGGGTAACCCAGTCTCACCCTCACCAGGCTTCCTGACCCATCCCACCTCATCCCACCCCAGGGTAACCCAGTCTCACCCGCACCTGGCTTTCTGAGCCAGGGTAACCCAGTCTCATCCGCACTAGGCTTCCTGACCCCAGGGTAACCCAGTCTCACCGGCACCAGGCTTCCTGACCTGTCCCATTCGGGTGCAGCCCGGCCCAGGGTAACCTAGTCTGACCCACATCTCACCCCAGTGGCTCCCCCAACCCGGCCTCTCCTCTGAGCCGCAGGGCAGGGCAGGGCTGGGGCAGCTGGGCGGGATGGAGGCGGGCTCAGCCCCGCTAGCTGAGCGGGGAGGAAGAGCTGGTCGGAGACGGAGCAGCCGGTATTGGTGAACCGGGCTGGGCGGGGAGGCGGGAGCCTGGCCGAGCCCGAGCCCGCCCCTCAGGTGAGCCCAGGCGGTATAAAGCCCGGGGCCGGAGGGTGGGGTGCAGAGCTGGGAGCATTAGCTGGGTGAACATGGGTAACAGGGTCACCCGCGGGGACTTCGAGTGGGTTTACACGGAGCAGCCCCACACTCAGCGGCGGCGGGAGATCCTAGGTAGGCGCCCGCCGCGGGCAGGGGGGGCGGCTGGCAGTAGCCGCCGCGGGGAGGGCGCGGGCGGGCACCTGCCTTCCCTGCTGCCGTGGCCGGGCTGGCCCGCGCAGCGAGACGGCGATGAGCGGCTCTGCCCTTTGCCTGTTGTAATCCCGCTCCAGTGCCTGAGCCGCATCCCTCCGCTTTGCCTCTGGGGTCCCGGCGCTCGCTCGCCCATTCCCGCAGACAGAGCTTCCCCGCCGACACCTGCGTCCCCCGCGCCGCGGAGCCGCTGCAGCGCCCAGAGGGCGGCCCTGCCCTGCCCCTTCGGGGGACGCTGCTATCGTGGGAGCGTCTGTGTCTTCCTCGGTGGCTCTGAATCCCTGTGCGTGCGTGGAAAATCTTTCTTTGCCCTGTTTGTTAAACTGCTGTTTCCTCTTCTCACTCTCTGGCCCCTTCCCCCCACAAACCCTGGGAGATTCACTCACGAGAGGGAAATCATCAGCAAACTGCTCTGGCCTAAGCCCGGAGGGTTAAACTGTTCAGCTGTGGCATGTTCTGCAGGAGAATTCCTACTCTAGCCTGCAAACTCTTATTACTGGAGCCTCCTGTCCTGCTTGCAAAGGAGGCACTGGCTTATTGCTATATCAGGTTTTCCCATGGCTAAATTACTTTAGACTGGAACTGATCCACCTTCCCTTTTGGAGTGAACAGCAGCAGCTTGGAACAGCAGGCCAATGAGCCATGTCTGGGGGTTGTACTGAATTGTAACACAAATGTCAAGAGCTAGGAACTGAGTTGGGGCAAGTATAGATCAGACACTGATCAGGTGCACACTGCTCACTGAACATAAGAATGGCTATACTGGGTCAGACCAAAGGTCCATCCAGCCCAGTTTCCTGTCTACCAACAGTGGCCAATGCCAGGTGCCCCAGAGGGAGTGAACCTAACAAGCAATGATCAAGTGATCTCTCTTCTGCCATCCATCTCCACCCTCTGACAAACAGAGGCTAGCGACACCATTCCTTACCCATCCTGGCTAATACCTATTAATGGACTTAACCTCCATGAATTTATCTAGTTCTCTTTTAAACCCTGTTATAGTCCTAGCCTTCACAACCTCCCCAGGCAAGGAGTTCCACAGATTGACTGTGTGAAGAAAAACTTCCTTTTATTTGTTTTAAACCTGCTGCCCATTAATTTCATTTGGTGGCCCCTAGTTTTTCTATTATGGGAACAAGTAAATAACTTTTCCTTATTCACTTTCTCCATACCACTCATGATTTTATATATCTCTATCATATTCCCCCTTAGTCTCCTCTTTTCCAAGCTGAAAAGTCCTAGCCTCTTTAATCTCTCCTCATAGGGGACCTATTCCAACCCCCTAATCATTTCAGTTGCCCTTCTCTGAACCTTTTCTAATGCCAGTATATCTTTTTTGAGATGAGGAGACCACAGGTACTGCAGGGAAGAGCTGGATACAACTTTTCTGATGGTGTGGAAGAATGGCCTGCCAGGCCACAGTTTGACAGGTCGGGGCAAAGAGGCCAGCAATTCATAGGACCCATGTCCTAGCCAGAAAAAAAAATCCCATTCCAGTGACTTGCAACATGCCTTGTCATGGGTTAAAGCTGTAAAGATTTATAATAACCAGGGACTGGATCACCAGAAATATAGTACTTCAAAAACATTCAAATCTAGTTACCTCTTTAGTAAAATGAGGTCCTTGGGACACTTCCTCAAAAGTAGACTCATAGGCTTTAAGGTCAGAAGGCAGCATCATGATCATCTAGTTCAGCATTTCTCAAATGCGGCCACAGCCTTGTGGGTGGTGAGGGGATGGGATGGGGTGGGGGGGGCGGGAAAGAAAGCTGCCCCCTTCTGGAGCCACAAACACTGTAAGAGCAGGTGATCAGTGGGAGTTCACCACTTTTCTGGGGACAGTGGGACTCTGGCTTCATCCATGTGGAGGTGGGCTCCTTCCCCCAACCACAGGGTTTCAAGCTGTGGCCCCAGGTTCACCCACCACAGCCGGGGCCTCTGCTGCCTCCTCTAGCCCTCCATCTGGACCCCCAATTGTGCCCCCCCCCACACACACACCTGCCTCCCCATCCAGGTCTTAATTTTTCTCCCAGCTTGCCGGGGCTGAGTAAGTCTGCTGTGAAAAGTAATATTAACAAATATCGCTTTTCACAGAAACAGACTTACTAGCTAGCAAGTCTAAAAACAACCAAAAAAGCAAAACATGCAAAGCACCTTATTTGTGTTTCTATTCCATTTAGGTCCAGTAAAGAATAGAGACAACTGTCAATTATTTTGTCTGCAAAAAAATTCTAAAATAAATTACAATGATTTGGACATGTATATATGCACATTTATTTGTTTTTTCTAAAGTTAATTAAGTATTTTAGGAAAAATTGTCAGAGTGGCCACAGTGAGGCCATCAAAAAATTTCTTCTGAGAACCCCTGATCTAGTTTGATCTCCTGCACATTGCAGGCCACAGAACCTCACTCACCCAAGACAGCCCCTCTTCTCTCTCTCTCTTTTCTCCTCCCCCCCTGGAGCCAGACACCTGTAATCTTAAAAAACAAAAAAACACTGTTCTAAGAGTAAAATTCTTATGTGAATGAGGAAAGAGCCTGGCCATTCCATTTATCAAACAGGCATTGAGTAGATTGACTGGGATTCCTAAATAAGATAAATCTATTGAGTATATTGGTAGACAGCACATAAGAAAGTGTGTTCTGGTGTGTGTTTTCAGGGCTCTAGGCCAAGCCACAAAAATCACTGCTTTCCACTCATGTGTCACAGGGTATATTTCTGATTTGTACAACATGATGTCCACTTCCAGACTGCAATACAGGAATATGTTTGTTATAGGGGCTACCTCTGAAAAACACTCATCAGTTGCAGTTGTTATAGGAGACAGCTGTTGCTAATCTAAGTACTTGTGATATTCTCTCTTCCTGTGAAATGGGGCACAGCTCTTAAATGACTTGTAAAAGAGGCAGATTTGTCTTATGGTTAAGACAGTAGAGTGGGACTCAGGAACTGAACCCAGAATTCCTGGCTCAGCCAGCCTTCCTGTAGGACTTCAGACAATTCAGTTAATTTTGCTGCTGTGTCTTAGTTCCCTATCTTTAAAACAGGATAATGCTTCTCTCTCCCACCTTTCATCTGTCCTGGCTAGTTAGAGAGTAAGCTCTTCAGGACAGAGACGCTTTAAGCACTGTACAAACGTATAGCTCAGTGGGACCCTCATCTTGGGAGGGGGAGGGCATCTAGGCACTACCTTGAACCAGCTGTTACTGTAACACAGGAAGCTTGTGATTAGGGCCAGTTCTAGGGGTGGGCAAGCAGAATGGTTGTTCTGAACACTAGCTTCCAGGGGGTGCTCAGTTGCTGTGCCATTTAGCTTTTTTTTTTTTTCCTCTGCTCCAAATGGCTGGCTTTTTGGGGACTCCATTCTGATTGGCTAGCGCTCCAAGGAGCCAGGACAGTCTTTCATGAAGCACCCTCATTCATCAAGGTACTGCCTCAATGAGTGGATGCACAACGTCTTTCTATACTCTGAGATATACTGAATCAGTCTTTTGCTTTTATCCACAGACAGGGCCATCCTCTCACTGTCATATTCCTTGTCACCAATGGTTTTGATTCATATAGTTTCTTTGGTTTTTCATTGACTTTTTTCTGGATTGATGCAAAGGTGGATAATTGAGCAATACACTATGTAATTGGTTAGCTCAGGAGGGATGACCACTCCCTCCTGCTTGAATGGGCTATTACTGAGTCACATGATGCCCTGGTTAATCATTTTTTCACTCCAAGACCATAATTTTCAACATAGTTACATTATTCTTTGTACACACATCTCACAATGACTGAGTATTGATAAGCTACAAGCTTTCCGTAGAGACTTCATATGCTACCCTTTATGGATAAACACCAAGGAAGCAATGTGTTACATGTATGAGTTTGTCAGGTCTCAGACAGGAGTTGCTTGTAAAGAACAATGTGAACCCTTTGCTAGTTAGCACCCTGGGTCACAGTGGGCCATTCACCTGGGAATAGAACTAGTTGAATTTTTTCATTTGAAACTTTTCTGATGAAACGTTCTCTCCTGAAATGAGAATTTTAACAGAAAAAATTAGTGGTTTTTAAATGTTCCAATTTTTTAACAAAATTCAAAGGAAAAATGAAAGTTGTTTTGGTTCCCTCTTTCCCCAACTCCCATTTCCATTTCTCTCCCTTTCTTTGTCCATTTTGTCACTGAAAAAGGATGTTTGGGAGATGGTGATTAGAGAAATTAAAAAAATCAGACTTCAAAATATGTTCACTATTTTCTGACCATCTCGTTTTGTGAGCCAGTAATGTTCACCCTCCACAATTGGTACTAACTGCCCATTGCTGAGGTGAGTTTCAAGATTTTGATTATACAATATAGGTTCTGTCTACCTGATGGATAGACTGTCTATCTTATGTCACAGCAGCAGAGTTCAACAGGATTGAAACTGCTGACTATCCCATGATGTAACTTCATACCTGAACAGGGGCAAAGGAGGAATAGGACTTGCTCCCTTAGCCTGTTTGTGCCCTTCCCGCCCTCCCCTTCCATCTCTTGCTTTCATTTTTGCCCTCTGTTTGAATTTTATTGCTCTTATTCTCCAATTTTTATTCATCTTATTCTTTTTTTTCCTTTTTCCCCTCAGCCTCCTGAGGTTCTGTTCCTACCCATTATTCTCCCCCTGCCCTGTTGTCTTTCTCACTTTCCCGCTCCTCCTTATGGTTATCCCATTATTTGAGAGCTGACAAAGTGCCTGGTACTGTATCCCATACAGACTAGAAATATCTTCACTTCTTCCCCCTGCCTTGTAGTGTTAAGGGTAGGGGAAGCCCTTGCTGACTCCTTCTACTTGCTTACTAGTTAATCATTAACCTTTATACTCTGCATAGCATAAGACAGATAATTTATAGAAAAGAGAGAAGGCACGATCAGCCCTGGTCATGCAGGGCTTTATA